CTATGTCTTGCCCAGGTTGTGAATATGAGGAGGTTTTGGTGGGCATGTTTGCTCCCTCAGATTGCCGATCACTGCAGGCCAGGATGGAGGCTGTGAGAGCATTACTGTTCTGACATGGTGTGCATTCTTGCAGACAATATCCTGGCCAATACCCAGTAATCGTTATCACATTTCCTCCCACCTTCTGCTGTATTATACATGGATGCTTCCATTTATAATATGCCATGTGACTGTGGGCGGAAGATGGACAATACTTTAAGCTCTATTGCCATTAGCATAAAAAGGATGTCTGAATAGAGCAACCACAGGTAAATTGAGGATGGCAGCATGAAGAGGCATGAAGAGGTGCTTTTCCATTTAATATCTGAAGCACCATTATTTGCCTAGATTCTGTTTTCTGATGGATTCAGTACTAGTCTCAAATGAATGAATGTAAAGCCACTCCTCCTTTCTTACTCTGACCTCATAAAGCAGCTTGATTTAAAATCGGCGCTCCTTGCCAATGCCTGGTGTGTAGTCGTGAGGCTTTTTTGGTCGTTGCATCTCTGGATTTTCTAGCTTTCTTATCCTGCCATTTTCCTTCTCTCACATACATGCAGATGGACATACAGGATAGATCCTGCCAGTCAGGAGGCTCTGAAGGGCCCCTGCCTGCCACGCTCTTCCTCCCCACGCACTCACCCACCTGGTCGGCCCTGCTGGCAAAAGCAACTGCCATGGCCAAGCATGCAGGCCCCTCACCATCACATTGGAAAAGATGGTTTGAGAGCAAGCAAGCAAACAAGCAAGTACATTTCGAGCAGCAGCAATTGGAGCCAATCGGATACTGCATTGGGACCATTCATAGAATCATACAATCATAGAATAATAGAGTTGGAAGGGGCCACAAAGGCCATCAGGTCCAACCCCCTGCTGGTGCAGGTCACCATTCAGCCAATGAAGACTTAAAGACCACTGTGTGCCTTTATTGGTCATCTACCCCGCCCCTAACGGCAGAGTCCGATTGGTTCAGATCAGTGCTACTCAAAACATAGGTTTAAAAAACTTCTACCATCATGCACGACCAGGCTCACCCATCTGCCTGCCTTGCCAGAAGAGCCCATTGTGGAAAATGGAGGAGCCAAATCTCCAAGTGAAAAATAAACATCTCTGAAGGCAGGCAGGCTTTGGGGGCAGCAATGGGTGAGTGGCTGAGTGAATGAACGGGCAGGTGAGAGGGGGGATTTGGCTTGCTAGCTGGCATTTGGGGGACTGGGGGGGGGCTTTGGCGAGCAAGAGGGTAACTTCGCTGGGCAAGGGGGCACAGTGGCAGCAGGGGCCCCAACACCACTAGATCAAGTGCTCACTGGAATCTGACATCAGCCCAGCTCTTTGTGTCAAGCTGGATGTTCTCTATTTTTGTCCAAGACTTCTCCAACCAATTGCGGTGTTCCTTTTGTTCTTAACCCTGCTGTATTGTAGCAGTATTTGTGGTATTGTGTTACTGTGTGTGATGATTCATCACCCTGGACTTGAACAGATGTCTGTATTTCCCAAGATGTTGGTACTTCTCCTATATTTACAGATACAAGCAATGCTGCTTCATAGGGGGGCACGGACTTCCAGTGTAGATAGGACTTCTAAGAAACAATATTTACATACCATCTTTATAACACCAGCAAGAAAAATGATGCTTTTATTCACAAGAATGTTCCCTGCCCACCTAAATGCAGTAGCTGTTAATCTAAAGCCCACGGGAAGCATGGTGTTACTGTTTGTGGTTCATTTCAAGGTAAAAGGTGTAATTTCCACTAATATGCATGACTAGCATGCCACGCATGGGAAAGGTGGTGGTTAGCAGGACTTAGAAGCAAGGCTGACAAAGTGCCATATTAATAATAAAGTTACTGACAGAAACCAAAACGCTTACAAAAATGACCCTAGAGATTTATTTATCTGACACCAGTTTAAAAATTAGCTAAAGGAGAGTGTGTCTTTGAATCAACACTTAGATTTATAGTCACGGATATAGGGTGAAGACAGACGTTACAATCTATAGAAACATGGGGCTTGTTTATAAGCAGTCCCAAAATTCTCTTTTGTGCTAGAGTTGAGCTATGAGGGTGGGACAGTTCTGCAGATGGCAGCAAAAGCTGTCTGAAATTTCAGCAGTTCCTGAAAAAGTGATGCACCTTTGTTTCCTTTTGATATATGTATTCTAACGTGGGAATGGATAGCTGTAAAACAGATAAACAAATATGGCACTGTGGAAGGAAGGCCATCAGCCTACCTGCATCATGTCAGAAGGACAAGAGTAATGGTATTTCAGGATAGAATGCACACCTGTTATGCAAATTGTGAAATGGTTTGGATTCCCGCCACAGGTGAACAACCTGCGATGGCTTTTCCTTAAATGTTACATCTGTCTTCACCCACGGTATGCATACTGGAAAATGAGCAGCCCTGCTTATAAGGTTATGTTGCCACATGCTTTGTTGCTATGCAGGTAACAGTTTACTATCTCTGTAAAAAAATCCCTGCTGTATCTTATCAGACTCTTGTTATTGTGTGGGGTTTGGAATTAATCTGCCAGTCATAACTGAACCCTTGGATTTCAATGTAATTATTCATAAATAAATCCTCTGAAAGAAAAGGCAGAAATGGTGACATTTTCCTGCTTGGATGTGAATTATGGATCAGCATTCAACAATAGGAGATCAGCAAATTTGAATGGGGTTTCTGTTTGAAATTATAACTTGGTTCATAGCCAGGGCCCCTGTTCATAACTTAATTTTATTCAAACATTTTAGTTAATTTCCTCTTCATAGTTTTGCATAATGTCATTGCGATAGCTTAGTTTCTATGGATATTGATGCAGAATTTGAAAGTTGTGAGTCAACCTGTCTACCGTTTTTTGTTTAGAAATGCTGAATAAATTTGGCATCAAAATTCATTTTTCTATGTCTTTTCTTCAGTATTATTCCATGGCATTCAGGATCAGATTTCCCATACAGTGGCAGCTCCAAATCTAACTATCAGTGCTGCCCATTACTTTGAAGTGTTGGAGCAAATGTTTGGGATCACTTGACCAAAACCTGTAGGAGAAGTTCCTGACTCATGAAGTTCATTTTCTCTATTTCTCAAACATTGTGGTCTGTGAATGGTGAAGGGAAGATTTGGATGTTTCCTGTAACAAGGCAAGAAATGTGTGGTGTAATCTGTGATTAAGCCTATAGTGGCCCGGGTGCTCGGCATCATGCCAAATGATCATTTCACATGGGAGGAACAGGCGCATGCCCTTCCAAAGTAACACACTGAAGGTAACCTGTGGCTTGGAGAGGCCCTGTTGCACAAATCTGAGCCCAACTCAGGTGATTCTTCCAGCTCTAGGTTTTGAGGCCACATAGTTATTAAATTATTAGATTTATACCCCACCCCTTCAGTCAAAATGGCTCAACTGAGCCACTGAGCATATGAATCTTCATGGAAAGAATGTGTGCCACCACACTGTTCGGAGTGCCTAGGTGGAGGGAAGAGGCACACGCCTGCTCCTGCAGCACCAAGGCTAGGCCTGACGGATAAATGCAGATCTGAGAAGGCTCCCTGCAAAAAAGCCTTCAAATAAAAATTAGCTTTTCCTGGAGATCACTGATCCCCATCCTTCGTCATCCTCACATTTTTATTTAGAACAGTGGATAAGCCCTGTATTTGTTCAAGGTTGTTAAATACCACGCTATTCAATTCTCTTGGCTCAATAATTTTCATAAGCAGTTGATCATCTAATTATGGGCATATTATTATACTCTGACATCTTCCGGACAGCCCTTTTCATTCTGTGCTACATTATAATGCCTCTTTGAAAATTCCCCTGAATTATAGACTCAGGCTTGGCATTTCCTCATTAGAGATTAGGTGTGTGAATGGGTTTATCTGTGGGAACATTTGGGGCCTAAAGCATAAGTGTCATTCCTGGAACAGCCAAGCATAAGAAACTAGCAGGAACATCTGTACTTAGGCAATGACACATAAATGGGAGACCATGCATTTCCTAGACAGAAATTCTGACCACCCACATCATCGCATGAATTGCTTTCAAAGCCCTGACAAGTTTAAGGTACCAGGTCACCCCCTGCTTCCACCATTCTGCCACACACTTCAAAATGCTGTAAATTCATTTGTTTAAACAAAAGCTCCACTAATATATGCCTATTTGTTCTTTTTAAGGTTCAGTATTTAATCTTAAGACTCTACATTGCTTGCCCAATTGCAAACTTCAGAAATTTTGCCATCTTATCCCTTGACCGGAGCATGTCACCCTTTGATTCAATCACACTCACATATATGCTAGCCATATACTTTACGTTCGCAAGATTCCAAGTTAGGCGAGCACTGTATTGGACATGTATAATTGAACATATATCCACAGGCAAGCAAACATTACTTGACCTACACACCCTCCCTCAAAATGGAAAACCTTTAAAGGCAGGCTTGTATTGCTCTGTTTCTCCCTGTCAAATGCCTTTGCGGATTGTCTCCAGCTTGCACCAAGACTTGCTCTCTTCCCCAGGCTCCTGGGGGAAACAAATGTGGGCCTGTACCCCATTTAAGCTTGCTTCAAGCCACTGTTAATAGAAACCCTGAGATCATTGACCACATCCTTTCAATTCTCATAGGAGTTGTGTTTTTATATGCTTTTTGAAGTGTATACTTAATATTATATTTACACAGGAACATTTACATTAAAAATTATCTTGGAACTTGACTTGTTTCCATTCTGTACTTACCTTATCTCTAATCCTGAAAGCCTGGCTGTTGTGCATGTTTTACTGCAGCTGCTTAAACAGATACATGATTTTGTAGCTTTGATATGCATTAATGATGGTAACATGTAATCTCCTTCCTCCCACCCATTCTTTGCAAAAAGCCTTAGCATAATGAATTTAAATGCATCAACTGGGGAATTTTGATCTTAAGAAAAGGAGACACTACCTGATCTGCCTTTCCATTCTTTTCCTTTCCAGAAGCACAGTGTAAACCCTACTACTCTGATTATTCTCGCTTTCGACTTCTAATTCACCAAATGTGCACCACCCACTACCTGGATTTATTCATCACAGGTGTAATTGGGCTCAACGTCATCACCATGGCCATGGAGCACTACCAGCAGCCCAAGGTAGGATGGAAAGTATTGATAGTTGCTGAAGGCAGTTGGCAAACATTATCATCCCTCCAAGAAGGAATTAAAGAGAAACAGAGATGCCCAGCCATGTCGCCATGCTGGAGGAGCAAAAATGATGATACAAGAGACTTATTTCCACCCAGCTTTGTCAGTGAAAGCAGTCACAGAACTGTAGATAACCAAGCGGTTTTGAAATACAAGAAATACCCAAGAGAGATCTTTTGAAAAGATAGCACCCCTAATATTAAATTAAGGAATGAAATTGTTTACTGTGCCTTGTCAGAAAGAAAGAAAGAGCATTTTGATATGCAAACAATAACTGTGGATTTATTCCAAAACAAACAAATTAATAGTCCAGCATGATGAACCCTCATAAGGATGAGAAAAAATTGCTCTGGTGATTCTTCCTTTGGATGCTGAGGAAGATGCTTGGCAAAGGTTCAGTCTAACCCAAACCCCAGCCAACATTGCCAGAACCAGTAGGTCAGGAGGGCCACAAGTTGCCCAGCCTCTGCTCTAGAGTATTGGAAATGAACATTGCAATGTGCAACACATTTCTAAGCCATGATAAAAAGGCTGGGAGCAGATGGTAATGCCCATCCCTATCCAAGGCCATTAGTAATTTTGCAGCCAAGTTGGATGTGACTAAAGATGAATTGGGACCAATAAGTCTTAATTTGTCAGCATCTAAGTACTTTTACACATCAAATAGTACTGTAAGTAGCTTAATTTGTATACCAATTGCTGATCTAAAAGAGAAAATCTTTTCTTCCCACCTATTGCCCTGGTTTGAACCTGTATATTAATATGTGTAAATGCACATCTGTATGCAAATTTAATATGTCCTCATTCATACATTAATTCCATGTCATTTCTGCATTAATTTGCCTTTTTAAAAAACCCATAAAGCCATATTTAAATACACATTTTCTTATGAAAGATGCATTTCTAAACATCTGACTCTAAAATCTGCATTTTAATGCCATGTGTTTGTGTGTGTGCACGTGTTTTGAGCTGAAAATTGTATCATAAAAAGTTAGTAGATTAGTTTGCATCAGATTTCATAAAGATTGTGGTCCTCTGCACATGTTCACTTGCATAATACTGCCACACTTTATAATCTAAGCATATGCAACATGTTAATTCCTACAAGAAAATGCCCTCTGGGTAGGTACAGATCCTGAACACCAAAAACATAATGTCTTTAAATCCCAAGCCATCTGGCTTTTTGGCAACAGTAAAAAAAAAAAAATCATTATCTCCATTTTCCATATCTTCAGTTAGATCATAGGTTTACAACATGAAATGCATGATTCCTGTAAAACTCCCTTGTACTTGCTAGGTTTCTTGAGTTCTTGTCAGCAGCAAATGACAGGAACAGCAAAGGTTATCAGCCTAAGCAAAGGTCAGCCCGTTTCATCCTTTCTTGAGCTAATGTTTAGTTTTTCTCTGACACTGAAACTGACAGAACCAGGACTCAGGAATGGGCCTATAAGATGCACATCTTTGCCAGTGTTTTCTTGGCAGCAATTAAAAGAAAAGGGATTAAAAACCTATGTGTGATCTGGGAAGACAGCTTCAGTATAGTTTTTTAAAAGGTTAACAAAGGATAATTTGGAAAAGGCTTTCGCACAGAGATTAGTTTGCCAGGGAGAAAAAGTGTTAAAAGATCCCAGTTTGAGTTAATGCTCAGTTGTTTTGCTAAAAGACACGGAGCTTTTCTACACAAGGAATTGTGCGTGTGCTTGCCATTCCTTAGTCACAATTATCTCTGGGTTCTTTAGAGGACAGTGTCACCCTCCAGTTGCCCTTCAGTTTTAAACAGCACGTTTGCAGTTCCTTTTTCTCCCCTTTTAAATGTGCAGTATTATTTGTGGAAAAAGAGGCAAGACACATTTCCTCACTAATGTAATTGTAGTATTTTGCTATACCTTATTGAAGCCTAGAAGTTATAGACTGAAAAAGTGGGGAAGATGTTTATATAGTGCTGAGATCTGAATTTTGTGACAAAACTGAAAGATGATATAGCAGATTTACAGCCTTGTCTAGAAAAGCTTTGTTGTACTCTAGCGCTCAGTTTTTGCACCATTTCTGCTCCTTCCTTCCTTCCTTCCTTCCTTCCTTCCTTCCTTTGCCCACAGGTTCTTTTTGACAAACACCATACAGAAGAAATTTTGTAATTATTACAAAATTCTCATATGCATAGTGGCACTTAATTTCATTAAACTTGTTAACCATTTTATTTTTGTCAAATGATGACTATCATTCCAAAATTTTAATTCACTTAAGTACATAGATATTTCACGCATAAAAGGTTGGTTTGTTAAGGCTGCCTTCCATTTTTCTTGGGAATCTTCTACTCACAGTCTGTTACCATAATTAAACTAGATATTGAAGCAGTTTGATCCTAATTTGATATACTTTTTTATTAATTAACTGGTTGGTACAGTTAATTAATAACTGTACAATAATAATTCATAATTAATTAATATGTTTCCTGTGGACCAATCGAATGAAAAGTGGTTGTGATGGTGTGCCTCGAAATCTCTCACCTTGCATGCAAAGGAGAGAATGGGAGCACACAAACCTATGACTCACCGCAGAACCATAAACCATGTTTTAGCACTCCATCTAAAGGCAGCCTCACAATAAGGCATGAAAATTGCTACAGAAATATAAGTTCAGGAGAACTACCTTCAATTTCTGATGTTACCAGGGAACATTATTTCTTGCTTAATTTCCTTTCCTTTCAAAGTTACCTTTTCATAAAGTGCTCTAACATTTGAAAGTGCAGCATATCTTTTTAATAGGATCACTGATTTTAATACAAAAAGATTTGCTGAGGCAGGGTTGGTGGAGGGGGCAGTGGGGCAGGCAGCCTCTCTGCCCGAAAGGCGCCACATACAGCTTTGCCTAGGGCACTAAAATACCACAAGACAGGCTGGAAGGGATTTCTGGAGCAAATTAATCCTATTCCTCTTTAACTTAAGCAATATTCAATAGAGTTCAGCTATCGCTCATTGAATAGCCTGTAAGCGAACTCATGTCTGCCAGACAATAGCTGAACTAATAAATCTTCCTTGGAGGACCGGGATTCCAATCCCTTTTCAAGTGGCTTTATGTGTTCTGGCACCAGGTGCAACAGCTGGGAACTTCACACCTGGAAAAGTAGAAAGCAATGTGCAAGAGGTGGCAGGTGACGTGCAAGTCAGAATAACAACTCTTGACAAGCAAGCAAGTCCACAATAAGCAAACTTATGACAACCACCATGAGGTTAAAAGTATTTCATTAACTGTATTTCTCTATATCAACCTTGTGACCCAATTAGGGTCTCTTACAGGGGCCTCCAGCGTGCAGGTAAAAACACTCCAGTAAATAAAAAATTCAAAACAATTATTGTTGTAAGCCGCCCTGAGGCTTCGGCGAATGAGGCGGCATAAAAATGTTTTAATAAATAAATAAAATAAAATAAATAAATAAATAAAACAACAGCGCTGGAGCTCATACAGGACAGTGGATAAATTATGAGCTTAAAACAATTATGAGTCATCAATTGACTAAAGCTGTGGGGTGACGATAAAGATTATTACCCTACAGCAAGATGTAGTGTGTGTGTGGTTTTTTTTAAACATATGATCCTACAGCCACACCCTGGGGCTTCCACTGATCGGAAAGGGAAGAAAGAAAGAAGGAAAGAAATCTCATTGAAAGTAAAGAAAAACCTACTGTACTGATGACATCCAATTATGTATCTCCTTTTCTTCCGAATGCAGTGAAGTACCTCACTGGTTGCCTGGAAACAATGGAGAGGGCTAACGAACTGAAGTTTGTTCTAGAAAGAGCAAGGTGTTGAGGGTGGGCAGACTAATCAGCCTGGGAATAGGTGCTTGGCCTCTGACGAGGCGGTTGCTGAAGTAACCCTAAAAAAATGGAGAGGGCTACTCTAGAGCCCCTCTGTCTATGAGACAATATGGTTGCAATATTAATAGGAAATGCATTTCTCACAGTTGCAGCACATGCTAATGAATACAGCATATTTGAAAATGCCAGCTTGTGGCAGAGAAGCTGGAAAGGGGACGAGTGCAGGAAATGGCCTGTTAAGGTTCTTTTCTTTTTGTCTTTCCTTTTAGCTCAATTAGGCAAAGGGGGGGAGAGCGGAGATATTTTTTAAAAGGAAAACAAAAATGGACAGTTCTTGCTGCCGCCTCACAAAAATCTTGGAGGAAGAGCAAGGGGGTGCTGCTTGCTCTTGTCCTCTCGACCGCCATGGGGGAATGCTAGCCGGACCAGCCCCAGCCCCTCCAATCCGAAAGCCCGCTCTCGCACAGACATTCCTACAAGTTAGCTCAATTGGAATCAGTGTCTATTACTCTTGTATTACTCTTTAAGGCCATTGAAGAGAATCTGATTTTTTTCTGAGTAGTCATGTGTTTCAGCGAGTTGTTCCTTGAGCCAGAGAGACAAAGGAGACAATCAGGAAGGTCTGGAAAGACATCATGAATTATTTTTCAGGGGGGCAGAGAACACTGTGAGGGTATTCTCAACTCAAAGACTTGGGTGCGGGGAAGGGGAGACAAGGGATGTGGAGAAGCAACCGAAGTATCTGCTAGTTGCGGCCATTTGCTGAAGCCCCAGAAGGCACGTCTTTCCTCATCCCCCTGCAACCCCACCAGCCATCTGAAGCCACTCGCCCAGTCACAGAGCAATACTGCAGGCTTAGCACATGCAGGTACTTAGCACATACCAGGAGAAAATCTCGGCACCTAAAACAGCTGTGATATAGCAGCCCTGAAAAAGTCCAGGATATACTGCCAGAATAGCACAAGCGGGATGGGATGGGCACACACCAGTGCACCAATGCTTATACAAACGCTTGTGCAACTGTAGATTGTGCCCAGTTTGCAGTTAAGGGTCCTCCTTGATGGTATGCTCTTACTCTGATGTTTTCAATGGTAAAGAGAGTCATTTTCTAGCTTTGCATGGTCCATCTCTT